TGTATATTTTTGAATATATCACGAATTTGTTGAAACATTTTACAAATAGATTTGAAACAATGTTTTTCTGTAGAATATATATGACATGATCATTCAATGCAGAATGACAGATATTTTTGTTCAACAAAAGAATTTAAACTAGGATTAATTTGAAATTATTTTGATGGTGTATTATTCTTCACATATATCCGAATATAATGTGGAGATTTGTTCCATTTATACGTCTAGTACTGTTATCCCCTCCACAAAATGTTAAGAGCTAGATTCGCCATATCATTAAATGTTGTGCTTTATATTGTTAGCCGGTATTATTAAAATTTACAAGAAATTAATACCGCGACAGCATAAATTTCAAATGTGGTATTTTTTCATTGATGTTTTGATTAACTTTGCGGAAATAATTCCGAAGTTAAACTAAAGGAAGGTAAGTAAAATTTCACTTGCCACATACCCATAAAGATGGAAGGCTATTATGTATAGCGATTCTCAACTTCGTCGTCAAATGTATATTTCAAAATAAAAACCGCAAGGATAAATTTATCTCTTTGCTGTGTCATTGTTGTTCATTGTAATTTTCTTTATTATTCTACATTATAATTTTCGCTCACTTTTTGTTAAATAAATTTAAACGAATTTTATAATTGACATAAATACGCAAGAGACATTAATCAGCTGATCATTTGTTTAGGATCTTTCAGTACGAGATTTTCATTGTATATTTTTTAAATACGTGACGTTTGATTTTTTAGCTTTATTTCTTTTAATTTTTATTTGTGTGGTTTTATCATTGAACTATTACTGTTTACCAGAACATATAGAGAATTAAAAGATACCTCATTGTATAATATTAAGTGGAATATGGATACTAATTTATGTGAAAAAAATGAAGTAGAAACGAAAGCAGATGTAACATTGCAAGATACTTTATGTAATAAAAACCAAAAGACAGAAGTATCCAATTGTCAATTTATGGTTAATGATGAGTTGACATATACGCAAATAAAAAAAAAGGTAAGTGAACATCTGTATTAAAGTAATAAAGCAAAGAATATTTTTTAATTGTTTTTAATTTTATATCAGTATTACGTTAATGATTTATTAATAGCATATTGCTCTGTGTTTCAGCTATATAATATCACCTAAATATTCACCTATTTGCTGTTATATTAATATTAAAAAAATTTTTTAGAACAAAGTTATATTTATTATTCTAACAAATATATGAAATAGTGGACTATATTTTTTCATTCAATCATTTTTTATGGCTATTTCAAGGTTATTGATGTATTTTTAAACAAATTGGTGTGCTTTGTTTATTCATTAATTGATACATCTTTTTTATTCAAATATTTTGTGTCTAAAAATGTTTAGTATAAAAGTTATTATAACTTTACTTCTATAAAATTTGATGTGTTTTCCTTGTCTTTTATACACTAAATTAAATGAAATTAAATTGAATTATTTTTTAAACAAAAGTGCCTTAATACTTCTGTTTTGGATTTATTGTAATATATATAATAAAATATAGAGTTCTATTTAAAATTAGGTCATTAATCTTGAAATTTTTGTAAAAAAATGATTGAGAAATAATTCTTTTCATTATTGCATATCTTCTTTGAAATAATACAACTTTGTTTTGAAAAGTTTTTCATACAACAGTAAATAAAGCAGATATTTATGTGATATTATTATTTAGCTGAGACATCTCATATAAAAGATTCTTATATTACAGAAAACACATATGGATCCAACAAGTAGTAGCTTCAAGCCAAAGAAGAATGTAGCAAAAATGAAAATGAAGAAACATAAAAGTGAAGGAGAATCAAATTATGAACCCACAAAGTTAGAAGATAGTCTAACTGAAGTATTAGAAAGATTTAAAAGGGGATGTGAATGTCAGGATGACCAGTGCTTTAAAGGCTTAAATCCTGAAACAGTATATCGTCATAGATTGAATATTGCAGAATTAACCAAGGCTGAACATGATATGTATTTAATGGGTGTTACCATGGCTTGTTTAACGAATCCATATGAAACAGCAAGACATACAGAACGGCGTAGATTACGTGCACAATATGTATACCAGGGTAGAAGAGTATGTTTAGATGCTTTTTTATATTTAGAAAACTGTACACATTATCAAATAAAACGAATTAGGAAACACTTAATGACGCATGGTGTCACCCCACGAGTTCATGGGAATCATGGGAAAATTCCTCATAATACATTTTCTTTAGATATTTATAAAATTGCAACAGAATTTTTAAAAAATTTTATTGAATTGCAAGAAACAAAACAAAAGACAAAAATTGCAAAGAATGCACAGTTACATCTTCCATCAGACATTACACGTAAAGTAGTATATGATTCTTATATACAATATTGTAGAAAAATGTCTCCTGATATAAAAATAATGGGGTATTCAACGTTTAGAAGATTTATGAAAGTTCAATTTCCACAAGTAAAATTTGCTAAATTAGAATTTATGATCAGGAATCAGAATATACAGAATCAAGGATGTACTAAAACTGACTTAGAAAAAAAAAATATTATTGATAATGGAGCATCTGACTCAACAGATCTGATAACAGAAGGCAGTGCCTTATTACCTTTATTAATTGCTAATGAAACAGGACAAAGTGATACTTATTTTTTAACACCAATTAGCAAACTACAAGATGGTATGAGTTATCAAATAACTACAAGTGGACTTCTAGTCAATAAACCAACATTACCTGTCTAAGACAAATGATATTTGAAACAAAGATAGTATATTAAAATATAAAACAAATATTTAAATGATATTTTAATCATTAGATTTTATAAAATGACAGTGTATAAATTCAGTAAAATAGACATTTTCTTTGTATGTTTATATTGTCATAATTAAAAAAAATATATTTGAGATAGATTAAGTATTCAAGAAATAATATATTAACAATTTTTATTGGTTTATAAAAATTTACTCATTAATTATTAAATATTTATCTTATTTTTACAAAAAAAAGAAGTAAATCATAATATATGATTTGCGTGTGATTGTGTTATGTAATGACATTTGTAATCTGTAAAACAGATATATAATAAATGTTATGTATAATAAATAATTTATATTTTTATAATTTATGAGTTTTTTTCTTGTTATACCCTTTTACACTCATTGTAGAACAAAAGTAGTATTAAAATGTAGAAATTTTAATTACATTTTAGAATTTAATTCTAATATGTAAATCGAAAAATTAGAATATCAGTAATGCAGTGTTTCTCAAATCACTTTTCAAAAATATTAATATATAAATTGTCAATATTAGATAAAATTTGAAAACAATATATTAGAATTAAATACTTAAATCACAAAAAGGGAAAACTGTGCAAGCAAGTATTAAACTTTATTATTTAAAACAATAAAACATTTAATTCGTAACAAATATACATTTATTTTGGAATATCTTTTGTTATTAATGTATTTTTTATTATAGTTCATTAATGTATCTTTTATTCTAAATAAGATTCATTTTTCTATAAAAGGATATTTTATAATTAAAATAATATTAATTTAAAGTTTGAGAGCCTCTTGCTTTACAGTTATAGCTGAAATACTGTAGATATGGCAGGAAACTGTTTAGTTGGAATCAGCAAGGTCAGCAAGTGCACATTGAAATCTCACATTGACATATAGGAAATATTGTATAAATGATTATCAATACAATTGTATATAATTTTATTAAAATAGTTAGTTTAAATAACTATATAATTGTTTAAATAGTTATTTTTGTTCAAAATTATTAATATTTTTATTTACAAATTATACAATTGTACTGTATGATAGAAATAAGATATAATATTATTTAATATTACATATATCATATTATGTATGCTTATATTTTAAAATATGTAATTCGTTGGTTTTATATCTGTTAGACGATGTAGAGAGTATGACAGGTGAGATTGAAAATGGAGATTTGGCAATCCGGGATGTTGCAGACCTTCTTCAATCACAGTATGCTATTATAGCAGGTGAGTAAACATTTCAAATTTGATTAATTTATTAAAGAATATGTTATTTAACTTTTGTTACTTTTTCTAAATAACATGTTTTACATATATAGGTGGAAAAACTCGAGAAGGATGTCCCATAATTACTTTTCCAGATAATGGTAATTTTCATAATTTATCTGACTTGGATTACCAACGTCTCATGTTGTATCTTACATCTGTGCCAACGTAAGATTTCAGTCTTTTATTGTTATTAAGATATATATATTGGGAAAATTATTTAATAAAATTTAATAATTTTTAGTTTACAAGAAGCTGACCTTGGATTTCACTTAATAATTGATAGAAGAAATGATAAATGGAATTCTGTAAAAACTGTGTTATTGAAGATATCTGTGAGTATATACACATATATTCACATAGTGATAATATAACAAAAAGTTTCAATGTAATTATTTTATATTATAGGGTTTTTTCCCTGGTTTAGTTCATGTAGCATACGTTTTGCGTCCAGCTGGATTTTTACAAAAAGCTATTTCAGAAGTATCAAACAAGTTGTTTAGAGAAGATTTCAAATTTAGAGTTATATTTTTAGCAAATGTTACTGAACTCCATGAATTTATAGATAAAGATCAGCTAACCGAACAACTGGGTGGTACCTTGCCATATTGTCATCATACTTGGATACAGAACAGAATTGTAAGCAGAATCATAAAAATAATATAAAAATAATCATTTATCCAATTTAAAAATTTTTTCAGAGTTTAGAAAAATTTTCATCGATGACTCAAGACGTATCTCTTGCATTGGATTCCTTCACCCGGCGTTTAGCCGAAATTGAATTTCCTAATAATACAGTGGCAACTACATCTTTACTATCTCAACAACAAATAGAATATAATGAATTAAAAGAAGAAATTCTTAGTGCTGCAAGACATGGTGAAGCACTATTGGATAGTGTAAGGCAATTAACTGGCAAGGGAACAGCTGACAGATTAGGAAATGTTGCAGCAATAGAAAGGTATAAAATAATTTAGTTTGATATTGAATTTTGATATTGATGAAATTACAACTATTTTTCTTGGAAAAAAGAATTAAGAACTGTTACTTATTTTTAGATTACTTGTTCAATTAGAAGAAACAGAACGTACTTTTGACTTGTTTTGGACACATCATAGCTCTCGTTTGAGGCACTGTTTAGCATTAAGACAATTTGAAGCAGACTTCAGAGAGCTACAAGCAACATTAGATCAACATTTAAAAACTATAGAAGAAATGACAGAAGTAGGAGAAACTCAAGCAAGAGTCGAGCAGTTGCTTTGCGACACATCAGCATTTCAAAGAATATGTAGAGTATGTACCTTTATTTATACATATGTATATATACATATATATGCATATTACTTTTTATTATTAAACAAATGTACAATCTAATGTATACAAAACAACAGAAGTACACAAACAATTGAGCCATTCTGTCTAAATAAAAATCTAGTAATCTAGGACAATAATATTTAAAAATACTTATATATAAAACAATTATCTATATCACTATAAATTATATATAACTAATGAAATGATATAATGAAAGGAATACAAGCAATATTAATATTAATAGCTTTAAGTTTGAGAATGTTCACAATGCACTTAAGGCAGCAAGGTATAATATTCAAACCAGTATTATAAAGCATTCTTTTTTTTTTTTAATTATTCAAACTCCATTAAAAAATTTTTATGGAAATTCTGGTTTGAATAATATTTTTATGTAGATACACATACATATAATGCACATCATGCACAAATGTTATTTTGCACCGCTTTCCTCATTTTGTCGATAGTCCTATTTGTTGCATACCATGTGGATTTGGGTCTTGGTAAGCAATCCACTCAACAAAATACATATATTTTGTGATAGATTTAAATTTTTAAAAATACGATAATAATAATTTAGTATTTCAATTTTTCAATTCTATTTATCATATCTTGAAATGCAATAAAAAAAGTTATTACATATAACTTACATATAATTTATGGGTTTGTGAATTAAATCTCTATCAAATTTTTAATTATATCAAATGTGTATACGCATTCAAACTTTAAAAATACTTTATTAAAAAGCAAAAAATAGAGATTTAATTCATGCCTTATATTGGCATGATGGACTTTGAGAATGAATGTCATTGTTATTTCTCATTTTACACTGCACGATAGATAGTACCTTTTTTTTAAATACTTTTTTAGACTAAACAATGACAATTGATGAAAATATTTGATGATTGTCCGTAGTTTTCTTATTAATATTATTTTCATACTTATAGACATAAATAAAGTTACATAAATTTATAGGGAGATATAGAACGAGCGGAGGAGGTAATATCTGCTGGTCAACAGTTATTATCTGGAAGGCATCAATGTCCTACAGATGTTGTAGAACCAAAATGCGTTGAACTACAAAGAATTTGTACCATTCTAAGTCAAAAATTAGAAAGACGACTACATATGTTAACTAAATGCAGGGAACTTATGGAACGCATAGATAAGGTAATTATTTATATTGGAAATTATTTTTAATTATTATATAAAATTATTTTTAATCATATATATAATAGGCAAACACATGGTGCACACGTGGTATAGAATTACTTGCATCACAAAATAACACAACACCACCTGATCAAGCACTTCAGGAGTTACAAGAGTTAATAGAAGCTGCTGAAGAATTTCATCAGCCCAGATGTATTTTTCAAGATTCTGTAATGCCTGAAACTAAGGCTCTCATCAGTCAAGTATGTATTTTCTGTAAATAAAATTATTTTTTTAAAATTATTCCACTTATAAAATAAATTATTAGGTTTTACAAAGAATAGAAGATGTGTCTTTAATGTGTGATAAAAGAATAATGACATTAAAACAGCAATTAATTAAACCAGCGAGGCCAGTTCAAACTGTAACACCTGAACCAGTTAAACCGTTACAATCACTGCCTCAAATTGTTAAACCTGGAAGAATTCTTAAAAAGGCTAACACTATGCCAAAGGTAAATTTTATTTAATTTTATACCTCTTTAATTATTATACTTATTTTCATTGACTATATTTTTTTAGATGGAGATGAGTCCTATAGAAGGAGAATCTTCGTCTCCAGAAAGTGAATCTAAAGACGTAGAAGCTTCACGTTTAAAGCGTGGACATGTTTTAGCTGAATTAGTTGAAACCGAACGAATCTATGTTGCTGAATTAGGTTCTATAATTAAAGGTTATAAAATGGAATTAACAAATGAAGCAATGGCTCATTTAGTACCAATGGCATTAATAGGCAAAGGAGATATTTTATTTGGAAACTTAGAAGATATTTACATTTTTCACGGGGAGACATTTTTGAAAGATTTAGAAAATTGTATTTCAAATACTGAACTTGTTGCATTATGTTTTGTACAAAGGGTAAGTATCTATGTATTCAATTTTAATCAGTTAAAAAATTAATATATGTTTTTAATATGATATAATGTTTTTAATATGAAATATATTTATTTTTAGCGCGAGGTGTTCTTTAGATTATATAGTTACTATTGTCAAAATATTCCGAGATCCGAAAGATTGCGAGAACAGATACAAAATGAACCACAGTTTCTTACAACTTGTCAACAAAAACTTGGTCATAAATTACCTCTTGCTGCATATCTCTTAAAACCTGTTCAACGTATAACAAAATACCAATTGTTATTGAAAGATCTCTTAAAATATAGCGATGAGCCATCATGTTGTACTGAATTACAAGAAGCATTAGATTGTATGCTTGTTGTATTAAAGTGTGTCAACGATAGTATGCATCAGACTGCAATTACTGGATTTGGTGTAAATACAATATTATTTACAAATTTTTGTTATTTCATTCAATGATATTATGTTAAGAATTGATATTCTTCTTAGGGTGATCTAAATGCACAAGGTGAACTGTTATTGCAAGGTTCTTTCAGTGTATGGAGTAGTAGTAAACGAGAGCGACTTCTCAGGTTAAAACCATCACAGCGACATATATTCTTATATGAAAAGGCTCTTATATTTTGTAAACATAGTAAACCACAAGCTCATGATAAAGCTACATACCACTTCAAAAGATATCTAAAAGTAATATAACTTTATTTTATTTTTTTTTTTTTTTT